ACGTTTGTCGAGGGATTGACTTCACTTGTCTCTTTGACGAGTTCGTAGCTTGGTGCGGAGAATGGCAGCATTCACTGATGATGCCGGCAAAACGTTTAAGAATGCTTCAAGTCCACTGTCTGATGCTGGGAATCATGACAACTATTATGGCAGACGACTTCGGACTAGGTGCGTTCTACTAAGTCCCCCTGACAACAGTTGACCAAGTTGAGACAACAAGGTCAACCTACTTCTAAGTGTTGGCAGATCAAATAAGAAAAGAAAAGTTACTCAGAACGTTCGATTTCATCGGCTTTTACAAAAATGTGAAAGAGTGAAGTAGGCACACTCGGATATGCCGACTAGTACAAGTAACGTCAAAGCAAATGACTTCGATCATCTTCATTCACTTCGGATCGGTCAACTCTCTACTCAAAAGGCAAAAGCCCACTCGGCCGTATCCACAATTGGTGACAAGTGAATGGACCAATTTAGTCAGCACGTGGTCTAGCGACAGTAAAGAGAGGCAAGACCAGCAGTGCTGTACTCTTGTCGCATCGGTTTGTGCGTCCGAGTTAACGCGACTTGGGCAGTGGATAAACGAGTGCAATTCTTGAATCTTTCAGACTCACCCAGCTCCGAGGTGTCCTTAAGGGCGGCTCGGCAGAATTCAATGCGAGTCGAATGATAGGGCACATATCGGTCCTGAGGACTGCCGACAAGAAGGACGTAGCGGAAGAGCTCAAAGCCCGGTTGTCGGCTCAGCTGGTAGAGGTAGGCGTCTCGGGCCTGGTTGGAGGGTGCATCGCGAAGACGCAGCTGCAGGAGGCTGTCCGATTTGCGCCACTTCTGCATTACCCACATGCCGAGGTTGACCAGACCCGAGGGATTGTACACGGTGCCCAGATGCGGCCCACTCAGCGAGAGAAAGGCGTGCAGTCGTGGCAGAAGGTGGCTCATTCGTGGGCTCGTCAGGCAGGCGCGAACCAACACGCAGCCCATGCTATGGCCGAGAAAGCTGAAGTCGGCCGGGCATGTTGGCACCGTTCAATAGGGTTGAACGCCGGACGAGTTCACGCAGGCGCAGGCATTTGATGAGGACAGGAGTGGGACAAAAAGGGAATTGTTTAGCGATATTTCAACTCAACTCACCCTTGCAAGTTGACCCTAGGCATGTATTTGGGCTGGGCGTGAACCAAAGGAGAAATCGATTGACCTGACACAATTTATAGGAGCCAAGTCTGGCATTCATTAAGTCAAGTCGGCCGTGGCTAACTACTGCACAGGTGGCGCGAGTTGTATCGGAGCCATAAAGAGTGAAAAAGACTTAATTGAAAAATCAGCATTCACACCTTTTTGTTTATGATAATGAAGGAATGATAGTTGAATGTTTCGCACAATAACATGAGTAGACCTTGTGTTTCTAGCAACATTCACATAGCCTTGCTTCCCAGAAGGTATTTTCGTCTAAGCTGAAGAGAACTTTAAACTGGCTTAGGTCTTTCCATACCACATTTCCATGGTGGGAGTGTAGACGAAGCGAAATCGTACTTGCTATAGCAATCGATTACATTACTCACTTTCGGTGTGTAAGTAGGTTTTAGAGATTACCAGTTGATCTTATATAATAACAAAATTCATTATATTTTGTTTAATGTGATGCGGATTTTCCAGTTACTAGTAGTCTTTAAAACCTATTTATACGCCGAAAATAGTGCAGTCGATTGCTATAGTAAATACAATTTTACTTGATCGACACTCCCACCACAGAACTGTGGCATGGCAAATGCCTAGGCTTCCTTAAAATTCCCTTCTGTCCTGTGACCCAAAGGCACTCGTGGCAGTGTGGCGTAGTCACTAACGTGCAAAGACTCGAATATCAGCCCGATTCAAGTCCTGCTAGGGTGCCAAGGCGAGGTCGAAACCGTAGTCAACTTCAGCCTGGCTGAAAATACCTTCTGGGAAGCTAAAATATGTGATAGGAAAGGATTTTTCTAAAACCTGAATACCAATTCTTAATCACCATAAACGAAATAGGATGAATACAGCTCCTATTTAAGATCTACTAGTAGCTACAAACCAGGCTCTAGCCTTCGAAAAGCCCACGTTTGGAAGGAATTAGTGAATTCGTCTCACAAGGAACCAAATAAGGACTGTTTATAAGTAGTGTAAAGTTCATTTAATTATGTGAAAAAGTCCTTAGCTCACCTTCCTGAAGCTCTTATCTATTGGTGCTAAGCCTTATTATTGTAGTTGAAACTTTTATTTAGTAGGAAGACAC